CTCGACACGAGAAAGATGACGATCTGAGAATTGATAGAAGAAAGATGGAGATGAAGAGAAATGAGTAATAAGAAAGAGAGAGGAGAGAGATGTAAAGAAAGAGAAAGAGACGAGAGAACGAAACGAGAGAGAAAGACGAGGTATCTGACGAGACGAGGAGGAGGGATGAGAAAGAGAGAAAGAGAGAGAAAGAGGTGAAGGGCGAGAAGAGAGAGGAGAGAGAAGAACGAGAGGAGAGAGAGAGAGAGGAAGAGAGAGAGAGGAAAGAGAAGAGACAGAGAGAAAGAGAGAGAAGAATAGAAGAGAGAGAGAGAGAGAGAGAAGGGGGTAGAGAGAAAAAGAAAAAGAGAGAGAGGGACAGGGGTGGAGAGAGCAAGAGCAGAGAAAAGAAGAAAAAAGAAATGAGATCGACAGTAGAAGCAGAAGAGAAAGTTGAAAGAAAGAAGAGAGAGATGAGAGAGAGAGAGAGCAGAAGAAAGAATTGAATAAAGACAGGATGAGAAAGGAGGAAAGAAAGAAATGAAGAGAGGAGGAGAGAGAAAGAAAAAGAGAGGAAAAGAGAGAGAGAAAGACTGGAGAAGAAAGAAGAGAGAGAGAGAGAGAGAGGAGAAGGATGAGAGAGAGAGAGAGGAGAGAGGAGGGAGAGAAAGAAAAGAGAAAGAGAGAGAAGAAAGAGAAAGAGAGAGAAGGGACAGGGGGAGAGAGCAAGGGAGAGAAAGAAAAAAAGGAGAGAGAGATCGACAGAGAAAGAGACGAGAAAGAGAAAGAGAGGAGAGAGAGAGAGAGAGAGAGAAAGAGGAGAGAGAGAGGAGGAGGAGAGAGAAGTGCAGAGAGAGGGAGGAGATGAGCAAAGAAAGATGAGCAGAAAGAGACGACGAGAATAGAAGATAGAGAACGAAGAGAGAGAGATAAGCAAAAAAGAGCAGAGCAGAGAGAGATAATGATGGAGTGCAGAGAGAGAGACGAGACGGAAGAGAGAGAGATGAGATGAGAGAGAGAGAGATACACCCACGCCACACACACGTACACACACAAACACGCACACACACGTACACACACAAACACGCACACACAAACAAACCCACACACCCGTACGCATGCACGCACGCACGCATGCAGACCACGACGCACCACCTTACGCACACACGCTCGCGCTTCGTGGCATGTGCTGATTACGCACACACCGCAGGCGTACACGCACGCACTCGCGCATGTGTGAATACGCACACACGCACGCACGCGCAAGCGCGCGAGGGACACACGTCAGCATTAGAGATAAGCGTAAGTTAAATCATTAACGGCCAGCATCCGCTGGGAATTGAGAGAATTCATCGGAAATCCGCTCAAGACTCTACCCAGCATCTTCCCCTCCCATCATCCCTTTTGTAACCCTTATTCACCCAGACTCTAACCTTTTTATTGCATACCACACACTAATCTTTTTATTTACCATCTTTCACACCCATTAACTCAGCCATACACCCACCTACCAGCTAACCTCCTCCATCTACCGTCTTCCCCATTCGTTAATCCAACCATACACCCACCAACCCACCAACCGCTCCATCTACCATCTTCCATCAATTAACCCACCCATGCATCCAGCCATACGCTACTTATTCATTTACTATGTACCCCGGCCAGCAACCCACCCATACATCCAGCCACCGACTAATCTATTCATTTACTATGTACCCCGGCCAGCAACCATCTCCATACATTTCCAGCCACCCGAGCTAACCTATTCATTTAACTATTTATCCCCGGCAGCAACCCACCATACATCAGCCACCGCTAACCTATTCATTTTATTTATGCTACTTCGGCCAGCATACCACCAGCCACCCACTAACCTATTCATTTACTATGTACCCCGGCCAGCAACCCACCCATACATCCAGCCACCCACTAACCTATTCATTTATTATGTACCTCGGCCAGCAACCCACCCAGCCACCCACTAACCTATTCATTTACTATGTACCCCGGCCAGCAACCCACCCAGCCATCCACTAACCTATTCATTTACTATGTGTACCCCGCCAGGCAACCTCCACCCATACATCCAGCCACCACTAACCTATTCATTTATTATGTACCCCGGCCAGCAACCCACCCAGCCACCACTAAACCTACTTCATTTACTAAAATGTTACCCGCGGCCAGCAACCACCCAGCCATTCCAGTAACCCTATTCATTTACTATGTACCCCGCCCAGCAAACTCCACCCTATACATCCGCGCTCCCTACTTACGACTTACGCGATGTAATAAGAAAACGCGGAATATCGCCGCCGCATGACATAAAACTTTTAATCGGATGCGTTGCTGCGTCGATGAGAGGATGAGTGAATCCCCAGCACGACGGCCGTGGCTTTTAATCTTCCCCCGCTGGAAATCCACGGCCACGAGATCCGCGAGATTCAATAATAATCATCCAAAAATTGTCGACGACGCAAGAACCTTTGTCGCCGTTCTTTATATAACAAAAAACAACAACAACAACGCATGTAACACACGGACGGCCATCGTGCATTAAAGGGTAGAGGCATGTGAGTGCGGTGTCTGTCGAATCGTGCACCGGGGAGAAATACTCATTTTTCACACATGTGTACACATGTATTGTATACATGTGAACCCTAGCCCTAACCCTAACACTAACCCTAACCTTAAACAGAATTTTTTTTTTAATAAAAAAAACGAGACGAATCCTTTTGACTTGGTACGATTCGGAACCGTTCGGCTATTTCCGGAAAAATGAGTAGGGTCGAGCGGTGGGTGGTGTTGATTCGTGGTGGACGATGCTTAGGTCATAGGACACGGAGCGATGCTAGCGGCTAATAGAGTTCAATATTGTCTCGCTTGTGATGATGTGAGTTGGGAGGCAGCAAACACGCGGCTTGTAACTTACCTCGGCGTTATCACCTGTCGTATTGACAATAATTATATCAAGCGATGTGTACAAACACAATGTAGTTGGTGGTGTGCGTGCGCGTTCGTGCGCGCGTGTGCGTGCGTGTGCGTGCGTGCGCGTTCGTGCGCGCGTGTGAGTGTTTATTGGTTAGTTATTTTGTGGGCGCGTGTGTGCGCGCGTGCGTGCCTGTGGATGAGCGCGTGCGTCGGCGTGAGGGTGTGCTTGTACACCTATGTGTGTTTGCGCGCGCGATTGCAGAGTGTGTGTGGCGAGTGCATAGATTGATAGATATAGATAGAAAGATAGATAGCTATGTATAACTAGATATATACGGTCAGTGCGCGTTCGTGCGCGCGTGTGTGTGCGTGCGCGTTCATGCGCGCGTGTATGTGCGTGCGCGTTCGTGCGCGCGTGTGTGTGCGTGAGCGTTCGTGCGCGTGTGTGTGCGTGCGCGTTCGTGCGCGGGCGTGCGCGTTCGTGCGCGCGTTCGTGCGCGGGTGTGTGCGTACGCGTGTGTGTGCGTACGCGTGTGTGTGCGCGCTATGTCTGCACGCGCATGTACATGTGTGGGCATTGGTGTGCGCGTGCGTGTGAGGGTTTATTGGTTAGTTATTTTGTGGGCGCGTGTGTGCGCGCGTGCGTGCCTGTGGATGCGCGCGTGCGTCGGCGTGAGGGTGTGCATGTACACCTACGTGTGTGTTTGCGCGCGCGATTGCAGGGTGTGTGTGGCGAGTGCATAGTTTGATAGATATAGATAGAAAGATAGATAGCTATATGTATAGGTAGATATATACGGTCAGTGCGCGTTCGTGCGCGCGTGTGTGTGCGTGCGCGTTCGTGCGCGCGTGTGTGTGCGTGAGCGTTCGTGCGCGTGTGTGTGCGTGCGCGTTCGTGCGCGGGTGTGTGCGTACGCGTGTGTGTGCGTGCGCGGGTGTGTGCGCACGCGTGTACGTGCGTACGCGTGTGTGTGCGCGCTGTGTCTGCATGCGCATGTACATGTGTGGGCATTGGTGTGCGCGCGCGTGTGTGTGTGTTTTTTGTGGGCGCGTGTGTGCGCGCGTGCGTGCCAGTGGATGCGCGCGTGCGTCGGCGTGAGGGTGTGCATGTACGCCTACGTGTGTGTTTGCGCGCGCGATTGCAGGGTGTGTGTGGCGAGTGCATAGTTTGATAGATATAGATAGAAAGATAGATAGCTATGTATAGGTAGATATATACAGTCAGTGTGTGGTTGTGTGTGTGTGTGTGTGTGTGTGTGTGTGTGTGTGTGTGTGTGTGTGTGTGCACGCGCGCGCGCTACCTGTGTCTATCTATATAAGCACTAAGTAAAGTAGCTTTGTCACGCACACCTGTCCGCCCGTCCATCCTACCGCCCGCCCGCCCAACCACCCAATCCAACCGCCCGCCCGCTCTCCCTCCCGCCGCCCCAAACATCCTCCTAACTGCCCGCCCTTCCTCCCTTACACGACGCCCGCCCGCCTGCACGCCGCATCAATGCAGTCTGTCTGCTAGGATTTGTAAACACATATCGATGCGTGTTGTTTGACGGTGTAAATATTTCACTCAGGCTCCATCGTCCCGCTGTCGTTCGCTAATCGACGCATCGCAATATCCGAACAACCGATGGTTGTTGTCTACGTAACCCGACACGTGTGGATGATGATGCAACATATAACGATTAGTATGACGATGAGCGTATGATAATTTGTTATAATAACGGCAAGCAACGAGGCAGGCAGGCGGTTAGTTAGACAGGAGAATAGTCGCCATAAACGATCATTCGCTCTCTTCTCTTACTAACGATGTGATCACCGATGATGATGATGATGATGATGATGATGATGATGATGATGATTGCGTGCGTGCGTGCGTGCGCGCGCGTGTGTTATTGTGCGTCTGCATGCGTCTGCATGTGTGCGTACGTGCGTAAGTGTGCGTGCGCGTGTGCCTGTGTGTGCGCGCGTGTGTGTGTGCGTGTGTCGGTTATAACACGGTTATATCCATCGCTCTCGCGTGAGCGACACGCAGCTATCGGCACTATCGGCGCTGCGACAGGACGTTCCAAAAAAAAGCTTAGTAATGAAGTGCCGAACACTCGCCATCTTTGCGTGAGCGCGTGAAAAGATAATGAACCAACCATCTAGCTTCGTAATAGCTAAGGTGGGTGTAGTTGTCACGCTTTGACGGATAGGTCAATTGCTGGTCTGGGGTTAGATATGACCGTTTCCCACATGAGGACCACATGTCCGCATGAAGACAGAACCAATTAACGCATGCTTCGATTAGAGTGGCACCATGGTTGAATAACGGAGTGTCTTCTACATTATGTAGGAATATTTTACCGTATGTGAATTTCGCCTCTCGTTATCTTCTCTAAAGGTTTTTTCTGTTATTTACTTTAGTTGTGTTACAACTCAAGCCGCCTTTCCCCTTCGCTTTCTATCGTCCCTGAAAGTTAACCCCTCTTTCCTTTCTTTCTTTTCCAACCTCTATGCAAATTGCGCTGTCTTTTTTTCTAACCGTACGATTAATATGTCCGCGTATTTGCAGGTATCTTCTTGCCGTAGATATCATCATCTTCTTTAACAAGCAAGACGTGCTACGACAGAAAATCGGAAAGGGAGTGCGAATAGAGGACTACTTCCCAGAATACACTGCGTTCTGCAGGGACAGAGGTAATCACATACATATATATATATATATTATTATA